CCCCGTTAAACATAAGACTTCATTGACCACCATGTTTCGTGCTCATTGCGTGATATACTTTAAAATCAACGGAAGTATGTTTTCAAGTTCATAGCACAGCATAAGAAACAGAAGTTAAGACAGCGTCAGACAATAATATTTGTATTTTTTAGGAAATCTTATTTTATATTTTGAGAATATTGAATTCGTATCCAAGACATAATGATATTAATCTCGTTAGCTAATGTGTCAATAGTTTGCTTTCGTTTGCTTTCTGCACAAATGACCCCATCCTAATCGGGGTTATCATTAAAATAGTCCTCATATAAGTCTGAAATCAGCTGACTCGCAACATCCTTAAGTATACATATCAACATATTATGTTCCTTAAGCCGTAATATTTAAGTAAATTAAGTCTGACCTGTCATGTTAATTGAGGATACAAATGTATTTTGAAGCATTTACTTTACGATACTTCACAGGCAAGGAGACCACAGGTCACCTAGAAATGTCAATTTCAAGTTAAATTGTAGAGTCATTTACATGAATTTAATATGAGAACAAATTTCATGTGTATGCGGTAATACAGTGCAACCTTTCTACACCGACGATAACAAATTTGGGCACTATTATGATTAAGATTTGTAACTTAGTCAAGTCACCCAGGTTTCTGTACTATCTGCTTGGGAAAAAATGGTTATACAAGATCATTAAAGAACGTTGTCGGCTGGATTATCTGCCTGGAGTAAAGTTAGCTAGCTTATCTACTTGGACCGAGAGTTGACTGAACTATCTGATTGACACAAATTTGACAAGATTATCTGCTTGGAGTAAATTTGGCTAGGTTATCTACTTGGACCGAAAATTTGCTGGATTATTTACTTGGAACGAAGTTGAATGAATTATCTGATTGACACAAAGTTGAATAGATTATTTACTTGGAATGAAGTTGGCTAGAATATCTGCTTGGAATAAATTTGGCTAGATTATCTACTTGGCACAAAGTTGGTTAGAGTATCTGCTTGGATTTAATGTGGCTAGATTATTTACTTGGACCGAACATTTGCTGAGTTATCTGCTTGGAAAAAAGTTGGCTATATCAACTGCTTGGATTAAATGTAGCTAGATTATCTACATTGACCTAAAATTTGCTGGATTATCTAATTGGCACAAAGTTGACTAGATTATCTACTTAAAACGAAGTTGGCTAGATTATCTGCTTCGAATGAATGTGGTTTGATTATTCACTTGGACCGAAAACTTGCTGGAATCTCTGCTTAGAACAAATTTGACTAGGTTATCTGCTTGGAATACATTTGGCTAGGTTATCTACTTGGACCGAGAGTTGACTGAACTATCTGATTGACACAAAGTTGGCTACATTATCTACTTGGACCGAAAATTTGCTGGATTATCTTCTTGGAACGAAGTTGGCTAGAATATCTGCTTGGAATAGATTTGGCTAGATTATCTACTTGGAACAAAGTTGGCGAGATTATCTGCTTGGATTAAATGTGGCGAGATTATCTACTTGGACCGAACACTTGCTGGATTATCTGTTTGGAATAAAGTTGACTGGATCATATGCTGCAAACAAAATTGGCTGATGTATCTACTTCGAAAGAAATTTGACTGGATTATTTGCTAGTAATGAAGTTGGCTGGGTTATCTACTGGGAACAAAGTTGCTTAAATCATTTACTGGGAATTGAGTTGGCTGCTTATCAAGGCTCTACTGTATTCTAATTTCATTGTTTAATATTTTCATTAAGTAAGGTGTTATAGTTATATGTATGTATTAAATTGTGTTTAATTGAGGAAGTTATAATACCTTAACTTATAATGTATACAAATAAAGATTAAATGACATTATTTATGAACAAAACAAATGTATTTGAAAACAGTTATGTGCTTTAAGTATTATAATTATTGCCTGGGGTATTAAAATATAAAAGAATATATTATATTGTTTCTTTGATCTGGGTCAGGTGTGGTAATCATGCATACCTGTTGCTTAAGGAAACAAATAAAATGTCAATCAAACAAATTCATACATATTTTGATTTGGTGACACTAAAATTTAAAATGCACATTGCGTATGCTAATGAAGGGTAGAACAAAGTAGTTCCTATATATTTTTTACAGATATAACATAACTAGCACTACATACCTCGAGAATTTCAGTTGGTGCCAGCTGTATGCAGCGTCATGAACTTTAAGGTCATTTTTTGCAGGCTAGATTACATATAGTAATGAGATGCATCATGGATTCTGTTTATCTTCTGTTGACCGTTGTGAATCCCATTACATATTAATGTGAATGCTTGGCTATACGTCGTAGTTATAAATTGAGTAATTATGAATTTTGACCTTAAGGTGTCACCAAGTTATGTAGCTAGACATATCTGGATCCAGGTCATTGAGTGTGTTCTATCAGTACTAATGCCTTTTGTAATTTAAACACTTTGTAATTGTTTTAATGAATTTCAATATGAACTGTACATTTCTTAGCGATTTTTTTCAGTCATTCCAAAGCTTCAAATAATTTCTGAGTGGCTTACTGACTATTTTTGTCTGATTTGATATTGTGTAAAAACAAGTTGCTGAAATTAATGACTACATTGATATGCAACACAACTATATTGACAGTTCAGATGTAGGTTTATCGGAGGTTGACTGTACACGGCTAATCTAGTATGTTACATTTGACAATGTCCCACACCGGCAGGTGTAGGTTTATCGGAGGTTGACTGTACACGGCTAATCTAGTATGTTACATTTAACAATGTCCCACACCGGCAGATGTAGGTTTATCGGAGGGTGACTGTACACGGCTAATCTAGTATGTTACATTTGACAACGTCCCACACCGGCAGATGTAGGTTTATCGGAGGTTGGTTGTACACGTTTAATCTAGTATGTTACATTTGACAATGTCCCACACCGGCAGATGTAGGTTTATCGGAGGTTGACTGTACACGGTTAATCGGCACGGTTTAGAACTAAGTTTGATATGCTCTTTTATTTATTATTTGGATTTTTTTTCAACGATTACGTTCAACTCTCAAACCATCAGAAATTAAACTGAAATATAGTATAAAAAACTTAAATGTCCCTTCCACTGAGGACACTAACACTACACCCTTTGCCACTGTCTGTAGAAGTATTTTATTATATTACTTCTTGGCATCCAATGTGTAGCCTCCACTGGACGAAGTGTTACATCCCCTGAAGATTCAGGGCTGAGAAGTCCTGCTGTATCCTACAGCATAGTCAGGAGAAAATGAACGAAAAGGCGGCCACGAGAAATTATTGGCTGAAAGAGCACTTACGTGGAATTTAACTGGAAAATTCATATATAAGTAAAACAAATACATCCTTGGGTACACTGTGTAATAACACAATCCTAAATCGGTTGTTATTCAGTAATAAGACGCTTCATATGTATATTTAGATATGTAACACGACAATCCTCACAATAACAGGAGTTTTTCTACATTTGAAACGTCACAGAGAAATTGAGATATCTGCATATCAACAATTCAAACAAAATAATACCTACTTAGTTGCCAAAAATGGCGTCCGCTGGAACAATTGTTTGTGTGATAGCATGAACAGGTAACAAAATACAAACTGAAGGGATTTGTGTAATAGCATGAACAGGTAACAAAATACGAACTGAAGGGATTTGTGTAATAGTATGAACAGGTAACAAAATACAAACTGAAGGGACAACTTGTATTCTTCGCAGGCAACTTCAATGTAGATACTCTGACCTCTGTATATGTAATATATTTTGTGTGAATTTGACATGAAATGAAAAAATACATTACAAGTGATAAGAGTATCAAGCTTCAGCTAATTTAAATTGGTACTTTAAAGTGACACATAAGTGACCCGTCTTATGAAGACATAATCTCCATATGACATCAGCTTTTACACAAAAATAATAATCCATAATATTTGTCAATATTACAAGTTAGACGCAGATGTAATATTACAAGCTAGGCACAGATGTAATATTACAAGTTAGACACAGATGTAATATTACAAGTATGGCACAGATGTAATATTACAAGTTAGACAAAGATGTAATATTACAAGTTCGACACAGATGTAACATTACAAGTTAGGCACAGATGTAATATTACAAGTTCGACACAGATGTAACATTACAAGTTAGGCACAGATGTAATATTACAAGTTCGACACAGATGTAACATTACAAGTTAGGCACAGATGTAATATTACAAGTTCGACACAGATGTAACATTACAAGTTAGGCACAGATGTAATATTACAAGTTCGACACAGATGTAACATTACAAGTTAGGCACAGATGTAATATTACAAGTTAGAAACATATGTTATATTACAAGTTAGGCACAGATGTAATATTACAAGTTCGACACGGATGTAATATTGCAATTTAAATACGAAAAGTTATCCTATCTGATGATTTAAAATTGTAGCCAAGTAATTGCATTCAGAAGGGAAATGTCTGGTTCTGTGATGCATCACTGATACGTTTAATGTTGAATAAAACGTGCCAATCAGAGCCCTAACGAGGTGGTCAAGGTTCTGTTTTAAGGAAGGGAAATGCTTTCGATAGTGTATATCGTATGTATTGTGATATACTGTACACATACACTTGTGATACAGGGAATAGGTTGGAGACATCATGCATTTTGTACAAGGCATATCTTATCTTATACAACGTTGGGGGTCAACCTCAAGGTATCCAACTAAACATATACAAAATGTATATATTAAAGTCTGCAGGGGTTGCAGTGTATACTTTACGAACAAATAATGCTTTAAGTTACAAGGAAGGATAAGAATGTATGCACTGTGTCTGGCAGGTGTGTCTATACGTAACGATAACTCAATAGTATCAATTGTATTAACTTATATAGTTAAAGTTAAACAAAATTCTCTAAAATACACTGTAACATTTGAAAATTACGTATATTTTACAGTTGTTACGAAATGATAAAAGTGAGGTAATATAAACACACTTACGTCTACCACCGTGTGTGATACTGCAGGCCACGCTGAATGCCACCTCTGTCTTACACTCCCCACGATGTAGTGTGTACACTCACCGAGGACACGGTAGTTAAGGTGACATTCCAGAACCATTTGTATGCACCAGAAACCCATTAAGGAAACACGACATTGTTAAGCTAAACACATACTTCTTAGAAAAGTTGGATTTGTTTTATTTTAATGTGAAATTCAAAAATATCTTAATTGACTTTGAACTACGTCTCAGACATCAATGTTGCCATACCTAATAACACAGCAATTTGTCTTAATGTGACGTAAGTTATACTATGACGTCATAGTTATAACTTCTAAAGCTACGTCTATGGGACTGTTAGATAATGTTTACATGGAGTAAAATATAACTTTACTGCAGTTACTTTTATTTTCCTGGTAAATATGCAATAAGTACGACGACGTTACTAGTTTTATTCATAACAATGCAAAGATCAATGAGGTAGATGCATATATTAATAACTCAGACAGTGTTATTTATAAGAAGTTGACAATTGAAAATATCTGCGGTAACCGGAATAATTTAAAAAGAAAATGTCAGTTAAATCTGTGGTAACAGAATACACCTATTCAAGAAAAAGTCGGTCAACTATGTGGTTACAAGTTAATTAAAGAATAGTTCTTGAATACGGGCCAAAAATGTGAATTTTGCCAAAAATTAGAAAACGGTACCGACAGAACTGTAGATGGACACTCAACCTACTATGCTGTCCAGTCACTTGGAATTCAACCATTTCATTTTGAGTCTAAATGGATTAAGAAAGCAAAAATCTTACAAAATATAGAAAGTAAAGTTTTATTCCCAAAACAGTCGAACGTTATATTTTAATTTTACATATGACATAAACTAAATAAAAAACCATGCACTACAAAAGTCTCATTTATTCAGAAATATAATTAGAATTTCATGAATAGCATCCCCAACAATTAAACGAAGACACATTAAGAGAAAACACCCATTTCATCTTCCCCACCCCCTCTTCTTCCAGACATTGAGGAAGCGTCCTTGTGGGATATCAACATGTCGGTTACCTCTATAAGGTAATTGTCAGAATACTGTGAAAATCATATATAAAACATAACGTGTCTCATTCTGTCGTAATTCTATGATTTTATGCATCTGATTTAAACTTATCTCGTATTCTTTGTCAACATATCACGTAACAGATTTCTAAGACGTTATGGTCTACTAAAGAAATGAAGGCACCGATAAACCTACTTTGATCCAACCAAGGCAGAGCGAAATGCCTACTGGTTTTATACATTCAAAAATATTTTTTTATTTTAAATTTAATTTTGCACAGTGTCTCATAATTTTGCTGGTAATCATGTAAATATGCATAAAATCATAAACAGGTTAAACAAAACATTCTGCTATATTTCCAACTTCAGTACCTATTGTGTGGTCGGTATTTGCAGGCAAGATTCAGCACACAGAAGGACAAATGGGACACTGGACAGATGACAAAGATACCAGGGTCAAATTTAGCGGAGAAGCTTTCAGATTAGTGTCGTTGATAAATTAACCATTAAACAAAGTCACACATTTAGGTCCTCTTTACATACCTCCAGTTAGTTATTTATTAGAACTGTGAAGAAAACAACATAAATATGCTATTATATGATATATTCCTGGTAGAGGGACAAACACCTGGAGCAAGGGTTAGTTGTTGATGTTGAATTCATGTTTTATCATCAGGTTTACTATGTCCTGATTATGTAACATACATATATATGTATGATGGTATAATATTTCACTCGACCACATTATAAATAATATTCAGATATTAATGATGAACATTTATTTAAATAGTTTTATAGGATCTGTTAAATAACCCATATGGCAAACATTGCTTATAGATGTGAAATATTTTAATGGGTGTGAAAAACTTTTTCTGTCGATGCCAGCTCAATAGAGATAGCGAATTACTACCAGAGAACCAAACTCAAACTGTGATAAATCATGGTGTTAATTATGAAAATATTTGATAGTTGAATGCATATGTTAGTCATAAATGCCTTTTGGTTATATGATGTTTTTTTATAATTGTTATGAGGAATTAAATGGGTATCCTCTTCTTCAGCGAAATTGTTCCAATGTATTTAAAGGTTCATGCATTAATGAAAAAAATAGATGAACCATACCTATATTTTAAAATTCGTAATGCTGAAAAGAGTTTGTATTTGACTGTTTGAAGTACAATTATCTATTTCTTTCTCGACGAGTTACTGTAAAAATGGTTTAAATCTACAGAGACTGGACATTCAACATCAGTAGACACCATTGTCACTTAGGTCTGGAGTGGTCTCACAATCATTGGACACCCTTGTCACGAAGGTCTTGGGTGGTCTCACAATCATTGGACACATCTTTCACTTAGGTCTGGAGTGGTCTCGCAATCATTGGATTCCCTTGTCACTTAGGTCTGGAATGGTCTCAAAATCATTTTACACCTTTGTCACCTAGGGCTTGGGAGGGCTTACAATCATTGGACACCTTTGTCAATTAGGTCAGGAGGGGTCTCACAATCATTGGACACCTATGAGGTCTGGAGTGGTCTCACAATCATTGGACACCTTTGTCACTTAGGTCTGGAGTGGTCTCACAATCATTGGACACCATTGTCATTTAGGTCTGGAGTGGTCTCACAATCATTGGACACCTATGTCACTTAGGTCTGGAGTGGTCTCACAATCATTGGACACCTATGTCATTTAGGTCTGGAGTGGTCGCACAATCATTGGACACCTATGTCACTTAGGTCTGGTGTGGTCTCACAATCATTGGACACCCTTGTCACTTAGGTCTGGAGTGGTCTCACAATCATTGGACACATTTGTCGCTTAGTTCTGGAGTGGTCTCACAATCATTGGACACATTTGTCACTTAGGTCATGAATGGTCTAACAATCATTGGACACCCTTGTTACTTAGGTCTGGAATGGTCTCACAATCATTGGACACATTTGTCACTTAGGTCATGAATGTTCTAACAATCATTGGACACCCTTGTTACTTAGTTCTGGAATGGTCTCACAATCATTTTACACATTTGTTACTTAGGTCTGGAGTGGCCTCACAATCATTGGACACATTTGTCGCTTAGGTCTGGAGTGGTCTCACAATCATTTGACACACTTGTTACTTAGGTCTGGGGTGGTCTCACAATCATTGGACACATTTGTCGCTTAGGTCTGGAGTGGTCTCACAATCATTTGACACATTTGTCACTTAGGTCATGAATGTTCTAACAATCATTGGACACCCCTGTTACTTAGGTCTGGAATGGTCTCATAATCATTGGACACCTTTGTCAATTAGGTCTGGAGTGGTCTCACAATCATCGGACACATTTGTCACTTAGGTCATGAATGGTCTCACAATCATTGGACACTTTTGTCACTTAGGTCTGGAGTTGTCTCACAATCATTGGACACATATGTCACTTAGGTCTGGAGTGGTCTAACAATCATTTTACACCTTTGTCACCTAGGTGTTGGGTGGTCTTACAATCATTTGACACCTTTGTCACCTAGGTCTTGGGTGGTCTTACGATCATTGGACACCTTTGTCACCTAGGTCTTTGGTGGTCTTACAATCATTTGACACCTTTGTCACCTAGGTCTTGGGTGGTCTTACGATCATTGGACACCTTTGTCACCTAGGTCTTGGGTGGTCTTACAATCATTGGACACCTTTGTTACGTAGGTCTTGGGTGGTCGCACAATCATTTTCTGGAGTGGTCTCACAATCATTGGATTCACTTGTCACTTAGGTCTGGAATGGTCTCACAATCATTTTACACCTTTGTCACCTAGGTGTTGGGTGGTCTTACAATCATTTGACACCTTTGTCACCTAGGTCTTGGGTGGTCTTACAATCATTTGACACCTTTGTCAATTAGGTCAGGAGGGGTCTCACAATCATTGGACACTTTTGTCACTTAGGTCTGGAGTGTCACTTAGGTCTGGAGTGGTGTCACAATCATTGGACACCCTTTTTACTTAGGTCTGGAGTGGTCTCACGATCATTGGACACCTTTGTCACCTAGGTCTTTGGTGGTCTTACAATCATTTGACACCTTTGTCACCTAGGTCTTGGGTGGTCTTACGATCATTGGACACCTTTGTCACCTAGGTCTTTGGTGGTCTTACAATCATTTGACACCTTTGTCACCTAGGTCTTTGGTGGTCTTACAATCATTTGACACCTTTGTCAATTAGGTCTGGAGTGGTCTCACAATCGGAGTGGTCTCACAATCATTGTACACCTGTGTCACCTAGGTCTGGGGTGGTCTTACAATCATTTGACACCTTTGTCAATTAGGTCTGGAGTGGTCTCACGATCATTGGACACCTTTGTCACTTAGGTCTGGAGTGTCACTTAGGTCTGGAGTGGTCTCACGATCATTGGACACCTTTGTCACTTAGGTCAGGAGTGGTCTCACAATCATTGCACACCCTTGTTACTTAGGTCTGGAATGGTCTCATAATCATTGGACACCTTTGTCAATTAGATCAGGAGTGGTCTCACAATCATTGATTGGACACCTATGTCACTTAGGTCTGGAGTGGTGTGACAATCATTTTACACCGTTGTCACCTAGGTCTTGGGTGGTCTTACGATCATTGGACACCTTTGTCACTTAGGTCTGGAGTTGTCTCACAATCATTGGACACATTTGTCATTTAGGTCTGGAGTGGTCGCACAATCATTGGACACTTATGTCACTTAGGTCTGGTGTGGTCTCACAATCATTGGACACCTTTGTCAATTAGCTCAGGAGTGGTCTCACAATCATTGTACACCTGTGTCACCTAGGTCTGGGGTGGTCTTACAATCATTTGACACCTTTGTCACCTAGGTCTTGGGTCGTTTCACAATCATTAGACACATTTTCCACTTAGGTCTGGGGTGGTAGTCGTTGAACACCTTTGTCACTTAGGTCTGGAGTTGTCTCACAATCATTGGACACATATGTCACTTAGGTCTGGAGTGGTGTGACAATCATTTTACACCGTTGTCACCTAGGTCTTGGGTGGTCT